TAATAATAGCAAGACATAGGATGACATTTAGGGGGTAAAGTAGGTTACATGGAGTTGATTTGGTAGTACAATATTTAGTTTTGCTCTTAAACTGGTTGAGAGATGGGCAGTCTTCGACATGATTGGGAAGGCTTATTACAAAAATGTAATAAGCATTACGAAACGCATTCAGGCGTCAGACCAAAAATAAAAGAATGAATTTTGGAGAGTTAATTTTTCAATTACCCTCGACAGTGAAGAAAAACGTAAGAAATATTGAGAAGATTCATGTTAGAATTATTAATCTTACGCTTTCGGTCATATAATAATTTGACATTTTTTATTTTTTTTGAGATATATACAAGAGTTGTTACATTCTTGTACAGTCACTAGTACGCGTAGCCTTTCGGGCAGGTCCCTGGAATACGATCCCCGCCGCGAAGAATCGTTTTTTCATCCAAGTACACATTTTACTGTTGCGTTAAACAGAGGCTACAGTTAAGGAATTGCGCTCAGTAAATCCTCCCCGGCCAGGATACGAACCCATGACATAGCGCTAGCGGAACGCCAGGCGAGTGTCTTACCACTACACCACGGAGACTAAATTTTACTGTATTTCGGTCAAATATATATCATATATGATAAAGGCTGCAGGAACACGCAAGCCATAAATCACTAAGAACAGTTTGGGGGGTAATCGTAGACGTCAGTTTAGTTTAGTTCATTTATTATGCACCCCATACTCATCTTGTGGGCGGTAGTGAAAAGAGTTACAGAGGCACATAATGGGTTCAGGGACTAAACCCCACAATTCATTTAGCTAAGCAAGTTACAGTCTTGATGAGCTAGTTACAAAATTCAATACACATCGTCACATCAGCATTGGGCTCGAGGCCGACCACAAGTGCAGTTTCTAATTTAAGCAACAGACATGTGAGGAGAGCTAGTGTCACAATTTATGTTTATCCTGCACCCCCTCCCCCCCCCCATCACGTGGGCAGCGGTGGATAGGCTACAATTACTTAGTTACTACCTACAGTTAACAAACTGAGGATATTTAGCCAAGACTTCTAGCAGCAGATCTTTTTGAATTAAATATTTACACATCTCTTGAACATTGAAATTGAAATTGCAATAAGTTTATTGAGGTAAAATACACGCAAAGGGATGAGGTAACTCAAGCTATTCTCACCCCGTTCAGTACATTGTGTTAATACATACATAGACACATATCACAAGCAATAAACGTATTACCGAACATTTTGAGAGATAAACATATACATTTCCTCCTTTACACAAGTAGTATGGTATCAGACGTACACACAAATACTTTTATGACCTAGGTATACTAGGCTCTTGAACATTTGTTATAGAGTTGTCTTCGAATTCACGTATCTTTTCGCACTCCATCACATAGTGACGGAGGATGTGCGAATAATTTTGTTGACACAGTTTACATTTGGTCAGGTCTACATCGGCAGATAATGGGAATTCCCAGAGATACTTGTAACCGAGTCTAAGCCGAGCAGTAGTAACATCTAGAAGTCTGCTGATTTTATTGGATGATCCAAAAATATGTGGCTCCTCGATTGCATGATAGTATGATGATAGATGGAATTACTGGTGTAGATTTCACTTTGCCTTATATATACAAGATTTTATTGAAGTTCAAGTTCAAGTATGTTTATTGAGACAAGAAAAAATACATCTCAAAGGGATAGAGTAGCTTAGGCTATTTCAAGTCCCTTAAGGGGCGTACAAATTCAGTGAATACAGATACCAAATCACAATATAATAATCCCACTGAACATTGCAGGTTAATATAGTAAGCACAGCATATAAGTTACTCTCATTGGGGCAAAATTCTTGTAGCTCCTAAGTAGTCAGTCTATCATACCATTATCACACATCCAAACAATTTGATGTGGTACACTACTTATTTCCTTATTTCTATAGTTATCAATAAGTTGACACTCAAATACATAATGTCTTGGTGTACTATTGCTCTCAGATTGCTTATTGACAATCCAAGGTTATACTCAATTTCTCCTTTAAAGGCAAATTCTTTGGCTAACTCATCACCTCTATCATGCATTCGGAGGCCAACATGAGATGGAGACCACATGAAATGGACTCTGTTACCATCATTAATAATTATATTGTATTTGTGTCTAGCTTCAGACACGAGCATACTACAGTTATGATTTAATGAGTTGAGAGCAATTGAGGATGATAAAGTCACATACAATTAATGTTTCAAGTTTGGAGACTTGTACACCATCTCAGTGCAAGAAGCAAGGCAAATAGTTCGGTCTGAAGGGTAGTGGGTCCGTGGTTTAATAGGGAATCTATAGAAGCAAAGGAACTGAACAAAAAGGCGTGGTGGAACTTCCAAAATAACAGAACATCTGAAAGCATAGAGTCACTCCACAGTCACATCAGGAGAAAAACAACAGTGAAGGAACAGGCGATGAAACTTAGAACGGGTGAGGACAGGTACACAGAGAACGACAGAGAAGTGTGTGAAGAACTCAACAAAAGGTTCCAGGAGGTCTTCACAATAGAACGAGGTGAGGTCACTGTGCTAGGAGCGCTGGCAGTGAACCAGGCGGTCTTGGAAGGGTTCGAAATTACAAAAGATGAGGTCAAGAAGCACCTGTTGGATCTGGACGTGAGAAAAGCTGTTGGCCCAGACGGAATCTCGCCATGGGTATTGAAAGAATGTGCAGAATCACTTTGCTTGCCACTCTCCATAGTGTATAGAAGGTCACTGGAGATGGGAGACCTACCAGACATATGGAAGACGGCGAATGTGGTCCCAATATACAAAAAGGGTGACAGACAAGAGGCACTAAACTACAGACCAGTGTCCTTAACTTGTATACCATGCAAGGTGATGGAGAAGACCGTGAGAAGAAAACCAAGTAACACATCTGGAGAGAAGGGACTTCGTGACAACCCATCAACATAGATTTAGGGAGGGTAAATCTTGTCTTACTGGCTTAATAGAATTCTACGATCAGGTGACAAAGATTAAGCAAGAAAGAGAAGGATGGACAGACTGCATTGTCTTGGACTATCGGAAAGCCTTTGGCACAGTACCCCATAAGAGGTTGATGAATAAGCTGGAGAAACAGGCAAGAGTAACTGGTAGGGTGCTCCAGTGGGTAAGGGAGTACCTAAGCAATAGGAAGCAGAGAGTTACAATGAGAGGTGAGACCTCAGATTGGCGTGAAGTCACCAGTGGGATCCCACAGGGCTCTGTACTCGGACCTATCCTGTTTCTGATATTCGTAAACGATCTCCCAGAGGGTATAAACTCATTCTTCTCAATGTTTGCTGACGACGCCAAAATTATGAGAAGGATTAAACCAGAGGAGGACAGCTTGAGGCTTCAAGAAGACCTGGACAAGCTGCAGGAATGGTCGAACAAATGGTTGTTAGAGTTTAACCCGAGGAAATGTAATGTAGTGAAGATAGGGGGAGGGCCGGTCTGCCGAGTGGACAGCACGCTGGACTTGTGATCCTGTGGTCCTGGGTTCGATCCCAGGCGCCGGCGAGAAACAATGAGCAGAGTTTCTTTCACCCTATGCCCCTGTTACCTAGCAGTAAAATAGGTACCTGGGTGTTAGTCAGCTGTCACGGGCTGCTTCCTGGGGGTGGAGGCCTGGTCGAGGACCGGGCCGCAGGGACACTAAAAAGCCCCGAAATCATCTCAAGATAACCAAGATAGGTGTAGGGAGCAGGAGACCAGATACAAGGTATCATTTGGGATATGAAATACTTCAAGAGTCAAAGAGAGAGAAAGACCTGGGGGTTGATATCACGCCAGACCTGTCCCCTGAAGCCCATATCAAGAAGATAACATCAGCGGCATATGCCCGGTTGGCCAACATAAGAACAGCCTTTAGAAACTTGTGTAAGGAATCATTCAGAACTTTGTATACCATATATGTCGGACCAATCCTGTCGTATGCGGCTCTAGTATGGAGTCCATATCTAGTCAAGCATAAGACTAAGCTGGAAAGGGTTCAAAGGTTTACCACCAGTCTAGTACTCGAACTGAGGGGTATGAGCTACGAGGAGAGACTACAGGATTTAAACCTCACGTCACTGGGAGACAGAAGAGTCAGGGGGGACATGATCACCACATACAAGATTCTCAGAGGAATTGATAGGGTAGATAAAGACAGACTATTTAACACCAGGAGCGCACTCATTAGGGGACACAGGTGAAAATTGATTGCCCAAATGAGCCATAGAGACATTAGAAAGATTTTTTTCAGTATCAGAGTAGTAGACAAATGGAATGCATTAGGAAGTGATGTGGTGGAGGCTGACTCCATGCACAGTTTCAAGTGTAGATATGATAAATATTTCACACATACACACCCACAGGGTGTGTGTGTGAAAAAAATAGTTAGTAGTTAGTTACAGTTGATTGATTGCCAGTTGAGAGGCGGGCCGAAAGAGCAGAAAGTCGACTGTTTCTGGCAGTTACAATATCACATTCTCTAGTGGATGGGTATGGGGTGCATAATAAAGAAAGAAATTGAATTGGTGGATGTTTTATGCTGCCCATACATATGATTCTCGGTTCTAAACATGTCATAGCTCTTTATAATCGTGCTTTCTGGCTTTCTGGCCTTTGTGTGTCAGTGACTGCTCTTCTGTCATCCCTAATTCCCTGAAATATTGTGGCTTTTATAACAAAGATTGGAATGCCCATATTCAACTCAGTTTCAGGCTTATCACGTGCAGTTTATTGTTAAGAGAGACACGAGGCTAAGTACAGTAATATACTGTACTTAGGGGAAATAACCGGACGTGTGTGTGTGTATTTATTATTTGTTTTTATTAATTGTGCCTCTAGGATGGAGCTGTTAGCTCTTGGACCCCGCCTTTTTAACCTTCAGTTGTCTAATGGGTGTGTATATGTGTGTGTGTATGGGCGCGTGTGTGTGTGTGTGTATGTATGTGTGCACCTGTGAGGTTATCAGCTGAGCTGTAATATTATTGGAACCTGGAGTGTCAGAGGTGTTTACGTCCAGCTGGAGAGTGGATCCCGTCGCTGTCACCTCTGCTCTACCTGTCTTTCCTGGTGGCTCCGTGGCCCTGGCTCCTGAGATAATGACCATGGGAGACCACGCCCCTAATGCGCCCGTGGCTTCACTCGTCTTTCCGGTCTTAATTCGCCCAATATTGGCGCAGGTAGGTGTCGGGAGGGTAGGTAGTAGGCTAGAGGTCTGGGAGGATACCTCTCTAGATCAAGGTTAAGCTGCACCTTGATACCTGTGGGGCTTAGTCTCTCCGCGCTAGATAGGTCAGATATTAACCCAGCAGCACAGGGCTTAAATGAAGACATCTTGGCTGAATCTCTTCAATGATCTTGGGTGACGAGACAACCCCCAACTTGTACTGTTCGTGATGCATCTTGTGTTTGTTGATGTGACGACTTGAATTTTGTAACTAGTTCATCAAGATTGTAACTTGCTTAGCTAAATGAATTGTTGGGTTCAGTCCCTGAGCTCATTATGTGTCTCTGTAACCCTTTCCACTACCGTCCACGGGATGGGTATGGGGTGCATAATAAATGAACTAACCTAACTAACTCTTGTGTTTGTGTATATGTGGGTCAGATTCCATTAAGGTTCAGAACAATAGGACGACGGCATTAGGGGCTGAGATGCCAGGGGGGCTAATCTGTCACGAGTGATCCATCGTACAGGTGGTTTAGCCATTAATAGATGCCCCTCACACCCCCCATTCTTCCCTTATTTTATAGTTATTTGAATTGCTCTTAGATTAATTATATTCACAGTGCTTTGTAATTAGTCCAACAAATGCATATCCAAATACTGTACTGGTATTGGAATGATGGATGATTCCTCACACTTGTTCCTTCCTTTATTGGATTCGCCTGACCAGTGGACCCTTTAGCTAACCTAAGATCTGTAGATAGGATGAAAACACTCGTGGGGCTTTGCACTATTTTAAAATAGAATTTTGAGATGCTGTGTGATTGTCAAATTCAGGACAATATACTGAATATTTTTTGCTGCTTGGATAATTTTGGTTGTGTTGTGTTACAGAAGAACACAAGTTAAATATTCAAATGTTGTTACAGGTGGAGCGTGAAAATGTAGCATCAAGTCAAACACTGCGAGCTGCCCTGAGTAAGGTGGAGGCGGCTCATCCAGGGTTCACCTACGAGATGGTCATGGGTCTTGTTCGTAAGGCCGATCTCAGTGTAAACATGAACGAGTCCATCCTCAGATTACAAGGCTCTGTAAATGAATCTGAATGTATGTAGTCAAATCCTTTTTTCTGAGTAATGTTTTGATAAAAGTCTTGAACAGGATTTTACTGCATATTCAATAAACTTGGGTTGTTGTACTATCTAAGCTTTCCAATTGGAATCGTACGGGGATAACCCCACTGTGAATCTTGCAGAGATTTGAATTAGCTGGATTTCTTACAACATATATAAAAGAAAAAATGAACAGATTTGCTATTTTTTGTAGCACAACCAATATAATTCATACTTCCACATACAGCATACTGTACATACAGTACTGTATACAGTATAATGATGACATTGATAGAGTGCCATAGTAGCTGGGTGAATGAGGAAGGTCATTGATGTCAAGCTAGTAAGTTGTAATTCTTTTAAATTTCAGACCACTATGCCATTATGGATAATTTGAAATCTGCAGTAAAGTTGCAAGATATAAGTGTGAAAAGTTGGTTACAGAAGGGTTTTAAGCAGGAAAATTGATGATCAACAGAGTATACTAGAGAAGATGTATACAAAAGATATAATTTAGAAAGTAAGGGAGTTGAGACTGCAGAATAAGTGAAAAGCAAACATGTTTTAGGAAATAGAACAGAAGTTGGGCGTATATATTAGATACAATATTTTGAAAATATTATTTTTTCTGTAAAAATTATAGTGGAAACATATTGTGGCATTCATAGTCCTATAAAAGTATATGATAGATTAGATACGAATGAAGAATGAGTAAACTTTACAAAATAGGTATCGTTATAATATAACATTAGCAGGAGGCAAGCAAACATAGAACCTTACCTTGTGGTTACCTTGTGTTGGTTTTGGGGCTTAGCGTCCACGCGGTCCGGTTATTGCCCAGGCCTCTTCTTTGCTGGACCGGTCAACCAGGCTGTTGGTTGCGGCTGCTCGCAGCCTGACATACGAGTCACAGCCTGGTTGATCAGGTATTCTTTGGAGGTGTTTATTGAGTTCTCTCTTGCACATTGCGAGGGGTTGGCCAGTTATACCCCTTATGTGTAGTGGAAGCGTGTTGAACAGTTTCGGGCTTCTAATGTTGATAGAGTTCTCTCCTAGGGGAGCCGGTCGGCCGAATGGACAGCATGCTGGACTTATGATCCTGTGGTCCTGGGTTCGATCCCAGGCACCGGCGAGAAACAATGGGCAGAGTTTCTTTCACCCTATGCACCTGTTACCTAGCAGTAAAATAGGTACCTGGGTGTTAGTCAGCTGTCACGGGCTGCTTCCTGGGGGTGGAGGCCTGGTCGAGGACTGAGCCGCGGGGACACTAAAGCCCCAAAATCATCTCAAGATAACCTCAAGATAGGGTTCTTTACCGTCTCTCTTTAGAAGGCAGAAAGAGTATTTTTTTTATTTGGTGTGGAAACGTGGATGCTGCTCTGTCCAATAAAATAAACACAACATGAGGTCGAGGCCATATATACTTAGAGCTGTGACTCTGGTGTTTATACATGAGGTTATCCGAGATGATTTCGGTGCTTAGCGTCCCCACGGCCTGGTTCTCGACCAGGCCTCCTTTTAGTTACACACCTTTAGTTTTTACTCCTTTTTTTTTACTCCTTTTAGTACTCCTTTTAGTTTTAGTTTTTGTAAATTATGTGAGAAACCTTTAAAGAATTCTGACAAAGAAAGGGATCTAGGGGTGGTTCTAGATAGAAAACTGTCACCTGAGGACCACATTAAGAACATTGTGCGAGGAGCCTATGCTACACTTTCTAACTTCAGAATTGCTTTTAAATACATGGATGGAGAAATACTAAAGAAATTGTTCACGACTTTTGTTAGACTAAAGCTGGAAATATGCAGCGGTTGTATGGTGCCCATATCTTAAGAAGCACATCAACAAACTGGAAAAGGTGCAACGACATGCCACTAAGTGGCTCCCAGAACTGAAGGACAAGAGCTACGAGGAGAGGTTAAAGGCATTAAATATGCAAAAACTAGAAGATAGAAGAAAAAGAGGCGATATGATCACTATGTTCAAAATAGTAACAGGAATCGATAAAATTGATAAGGAAGAATTCCCGAGACTCGGAACTTCAAGAACAAGAGGTCATAGATTTAAACTAATGAAACAAAGTTGCCGGAGAAATATAAGAAAATTCACTTTTGTAAACAGAGTTGTAGACGGTTGGAACAAGTTAGGTGAGAAGGTGGTGGAGGCCAAAACCGTCAGTAATTTCAAAGCGTTATATGACAAAGAGTGCTGGGGAGATAGGACACCACTAGCGTAGCTCTCATCCGGTAACTACACTTAGGTAATTACACCCCCAGGAATCGGCCTGTAGCAGCTGTATAACTCCCAGGTACCTATTTACTGCTAGGTGAACAGGGACATGAGGTTCAAAGAAACTCTGCCCATTTGTTTCTGCCTCCACTGAGGATCGAACCCGAAACCTCAGGACTACGATTCCAAAGTGCTGTCCACTCAACTGTCAGGCCCCTGTTTGAGAGTTTGCTTTATTTCTTGACTTTTTTGGGGGGGTAAAAATGTTCTTGATGGTTTGAACCAATGTAGATTGTAGCCTTAGGGAGAGACGTATATGGGAGAAAAGGGATAAGGGGCTCTAGAAAATATTATGAAAGGTAGAAACATTGTTGCTGATGTGAAAGAAGTAGTGTGACAATGTGTCTTCCAAGCCTGACTTTTGGCAATACAGTGGCATCTCGATTCAACAAAACTTGATTCGGTGAATCGCCCATAGAAGCTCACACTTTCCATGCCAGATTTACTCACCCGATTCGATGAACAGGAGTTCGCTGAAGCAGGAGACATGTGGATTGCTTAGGATGTTGGGATCGAGTTCATAGATAGAGGCAACATTACAAGAAATAGTTGGGCCTTGGGAAAACCACTGAGCATATTTAAAACCAAATTCTATGGTTCTCTTTTTTTCCACTGCAGAGGATTTTGTTCAGTAAAATATAAGTCCTTTTTCATTTGAAAAGGAGAGTTTGAGGCTTGGGCATGGGGAAATATGCTAGGCGTAGTTAAATATCTTTACAGACAGGTTCTCTTGGTTGTTGCCCTTCATGTGACAAATTGAAATTATAATTTCACTCGGTGAAATCAACCCATAGAAGCTGGATAATATTAGGCAGAAATGGTAACTATTAATATACATTGGAACCTCGGTTTATGAATGCCTCTACCGTACTTACAAATTTTTCGGGTTACGATCTGAATTTCTTCATAGAATTTGATTTGGTTTATGAGCTTTGCCTCGAGTTGCAAGTTTGTTGATACACATATGGGTAGACCGAGTGCGTGGTTCCTGGTGGCATGGGCGTCTGCACCTCAGTTTAACAGTGCCTCCCGCGTAGTGACAATCACACTTGAATTCTTTGTGAAGAATTTAATTGTTTTCAGCTTTTTTTGTTTCTAAACATAAAAGTAATTATTATATACCATGCCATGGGTCCCAAGAAAGTCAGTGGTAAAGTTCAACCTAAGAAAACACATGTGAGGATGACTATAAAGGAAAAACAAGTCTCTATGGAAAGGTTCTTAGTGAGTTAAACAAGCAATGAGACACAACCAGGTCCTAGTGGTATGCAGGCAAAATGTAGGAGGGTATCCCTGAGAAGTCATCACTGCCTGATGTTATAATGGAAGGTGGACTTCCCTTCCAAACACTAACACCTCTCCTCCTCCCCCATTCCTGTCCTCCTCCCCCACTCCTCACCGTCTTCCATATGCTAACGAGTCATCAATAAAGGTAAGCTATAACTTGTACATACTATAATAGAAAATATTTGTGTTTATTATGTATGAAATGTTTTTTGAAGTTAATATTTTTGAGAGTGTGAAATGGATTATTTCGATTTACATTATTTCTTATGGGAAAATTTGTTTTGGATTATGAATTTTTGGGTTTCGAGCCGTTTCTGGGAACGGATTAAATTCATAAAGGAAAGGTACCACTGTAGCTCCAATCACAGTTATGATGATTTTTGTAGATGGACTGAACATTACAAGCAACAGTTTGAGTCTTGGGAAAGCTATTGAGGATATTTAAAATCAAATTCTATGGTTTGTTTTTATTCTGAGTTGGTAAGGGTTTTGTTCACTCATATATTACCCTGCCATCTTTTGAAAATGAGCTTTGAGGCTAGGAAGATGAGAAATAAGTTAGTGGCTGTTAAATTTTTTGCAGACATGTTCGTTTGGTAGTTGTTTGTTATATTACAGTATAGGTTGAAATTAACATTTTGGTAAGTGAAGTCAGCCCATAGGGCATGGAAAATACATCCTAGAAGCATCTCTGGTTGCAACGAATTGGGGTTGGTCCCATATAGTTCGTTGAATCGAGGTTGTACTGTACTGTACAGTATTACATATTGAATAGCATGGAAATGTGTGGGTGATGTGGAATGGTAGTGAGAACTAGAAAGATAGGGGGTGGAATAGGATTTTTTGTTGCAGCTATGTATTTAGAGGATAGATTCTGGGAAGAACATGGTATTAAGAAATGTAGACAAATAGAAACTGTACATAAAATGGTTGATTTAATGAAAAGTGGAGCTATAAAATAGTTTGGTCATTCCACAGTAGAATGGAGAGATGCATATACAGTACAGTAGAATCTTGAAAAATTACTGTTTCTAATCAAATCCACTGTCACTCCAGATAAGATTCCTAATGACTTCAACAGTTAAAATGTCTAAAACAGAAAAATTACCAAATTTGCAAACTTCAAATGAAGAGGACTTGATTGTCATAAGTAAATGGATATCCATACTTGGTGTATCCTCAAATTGCCTGAGAAATGGTGGACGTGCATTTAACTATGTTCATTTGTATCCCATTTGTTTCCTCCGCACTGTTTTATTTAGAAACTTCTGTTATGGGTGGGCTTGGCCTTGTTTGGATTCTCCTGAAATTCCTATTACTTTCAAGCATGGAAGACTTCTGAAGAAGCAATTTAAACATTTGAGAAGAACTTCAACATTCTGGTTTATCAACTGGCATTCTTCTCTTAAATGAAGCACTTG